GCACAGCTCAGGAAGAGAATAGAGGAGCAGTCTGCACAGCTCAGGAAGAGAATAGAGGGGCAGTCTGCACAGCTCAGGAAGAGAATAGAGGAGCAGTCTGCACAGCTCAGGAAGAGAATAGAGGGGCAGTCTGCACAGTTCAGGAAGAGAATAGAGGAGCAGTCTGCACAGCTCAGGAAGAGAATAGAGGGGCAGTCTGCACAGTTCAGGAAGAGAATAGAGGAGCAGTCTGCACAGCTCAGGAAGAGAATAGAGGAGCAGTCTGCACAGCTCAGGAAGAGAATAGAGGAGCAGTCTGCACAGCTCAGGAAGAGAATGGAGGGGCAGTCTGCACAGCTCAGGAAGAGAATAGAGGAGCAGTCTGCACAGCTCAGGAAGAGAATAGAGGAGCAGTCTGCACAGCTCAGGAAGAGAATAGAGGAGCAGTCTGAACAGCTCAGGAAGAGAATAGAGGAGCAGTCTGAACAGCTCAGGAGGTGAATAGAGGAGCAGTCTGCACAGCTCAGGAAGAGAATAGAGGAGCAGTCTGCACAGCTCAGGAGGTGAATAGAGGAGCAGTCTGCACAGCTCAGGAAGAGAATAGAGGAGCAGTCTGAACAGCTCAGGAGGTGAATAGAGGAGCAGTCTGCACAGCTCAGGAAGAGAATAGAGGAGCAGTCTGAACAGCTCAGGAAGAGAATAGAGGAGCAGTCTGAACAGCTCAGGAGGTGAATAGAGGAGCAGTCTGCACAGCTCAGGAAGAGAATAGAGGAGCAGTCTGAACAGCTCAGGAGGTGAATAGAGGAGCAGTCTGCACAGCTCAGGAAGAGAATAGAGGAGCAGTCTGAACAGCTCAGGAGGTGAATAGAGGAGCAGTCTGCACAGCTCAGGAAGAGAATAGAGGAGCAGTCTGCACAGCTCAGGAAGAGAATAGAGGAGCAGTCTGAACAGCTCAGGAAGAGAATAGAGTGGCAGTCTGCACAGCTCAGGAGGTGAATAGAGGAGCAGTCTGCACAGCTCAGGAAGAGAATAGAGGAGCAGTCTGCACAGCTCAGGAGGTGAATAGAGGAGCAGTCTGCACAGCTCAGGAAGAGAATAGAGGAGCAGTCTGCACAGCTCAGGAAGAGAATAGAGGAGCAGTCTGAACAGCTCAGGAAGAGAATAGAGTGGCAGTCTGCACAGCTCAGGAGGTGAATAGAGGAGCAGTCTGCACAGCTCAGGAAGAGAATAGAGGAGCAGTCTGCACAGCTCAGGAAGAGAATAGAGGAGCAGTCTGCACAGCTCAGGAAGAGAATAGAGGAGCAGTCTGCACAGCTCAGGAGGTGAATAGAGGAGCAGTCTGCACAGCTCAGGAAGAGAATAGAGGAGCAGTCTGCACAGCTCAGGAGGTGAATAGAGGAGCAGTCTGCACAGCTCAGGAAGAGAATAGAGGAGCAGTCTGCACAGCTCAGGAAGAGAATAGAGGAGCAGTCTGAACAGCTCAGGAAGAGAATAGAGTGGCAGTCTGCACAGCTCAGGAGGTGAATAGAGTGGCAGTCTGCACAGCTCAGGAAGAGAATAGAGTGGCAGTCTGCACAGCTCAGGAAGAGAATAGAGTGGCAGTCTGCACAGCTCAGGAAGAGAATAGAGGGGCAGTCTGCACAGCTCAGGAAGAGAATAGAGGAGCAGTCTGCACAGCTCAGGAAGAGAATAGAGGAGCAGTCTGCACAGCTCAGGAGGTGAATAGAGGAGCAGTCTGCACAGCTCAGGAAGAGAATAGAGGAGCAGTCTGCACAGCTCAGGAAGAGAATAGAGGAGCAGTCTGCACAGCTCAGGAAGAGAATAGAGGAGCAGTCTGCACAGCTCAGGAGGTGAATAGAGGAGCAGTCTGCACAGCTCAGGAAGAGAATAGAGGAGCAGTCTGCACAGCTCAGGAGGTGAATAGAGGAGCAGTCTGAACAGCTCAGGAGGTGAATAGAGGAGCAGTCTGAACAGCTGAGGAGGTGAATAGAGGAGCAGTCTGAACAGCTCAGGAGGTGAATAGAGGAGCAGTCTGAACAGCTCAGGAGGTGAATAGAGGAGCAGTCTGAACAGCTCAGGAGGTGAATAGAGGAGCAGTCTGCACAGCTCAGGAAGAGAATAGAGGAGCAGTCTGAACAGCACAGGAAGAGAATAGAGGAGCAGTCTGCACAGCTCAGGAAGAGAATAGAGGAGCAGTCTGCACAGCTCAGGAAGAGAATAGAGGAGCAGTCTGCACAGCTCAGGAAGAGAATAGAGTGGCAGTCTGCACAGCTCAGGAAGAGAATAGAGGTGCAGTCTGCACAGCTCAGGAAGAGAATAGAGGAGCAGTCTGCACAGCTCAGGAAGAGAATGGAGGAGCAGTCTGCACAGCTCAGGAAGAGAATGGAGTGGCAGTCTGCACAGCTCAGGAAGAGAATAGAGGTGCAGTCTGAACAGCTCAGGAGGTGAATAGAGGAGCAGTCTGAACAGCTCAGGAAGAGAATAGAGGAGCAGTCTGAACAGCTCAGGAGGTGAATAGAGGAGCAGTCTGAACAGCTCAGGAAGAGAATAGAGGAGCAGTCTGAACAGCTCAGGAGGTGAATAGAGGAGCAGTCTGAACAGCTCAGGAAGAGAATAGAGGAGCAGTCTGAACAGCTCAGGAAGAGAATAGAGGAGCAGTCAATGCTTTTTAAAGTAGCCTGGAATGAGAGAAGCTCTATGTGCTTCAATAAAAAAACAGAGGAGACGTCATCATGTAGACTACAGAAAATATGGTCTCACCTCTTTTCCATCTCCCCTCTGAGTTTAAAACTGTTTATATTTTTGCACTAAATGTTGTCTAGTCTTTACTTATATATTCTTTTGAAAGCTTTTCAGTAAAAAATAATTTATTATTGACTGCATTTTATAGTATTTCTGAACAACTTTATTTGTACACTTCTCTCACTTTTTATTCATGACTGTTCAACACTTTCTCTATTATTCATTGATCCTCAATAAAACTGTTACTAGAGGTGAACCTTTAACACGTCCGACCTTTGAAAGTCATTAATCCCTCCCTTTATGAGAATGATAACATTTATCTTATCACATAAGTCATTAACTGTAGGACTGTTGAGGAAGTTTATCCTCATTCATTTCCTAATTAGGGGGTAGATCTGACAAATCAATTCTCTCCGTTTCCACCATCTTTTTTTTGCCTGTAAGTATTTATACTCTGCAAGAGGCTCAGTTCCCCAACTCCTTAAAAGTCCTCTCCAATTTTTCAGATCGAGGAAGAAAAGGGGAAAGGGAGTGAAGATTTCCGTGCTTTAGAGGAGTTTCTTAAGTGGAAACAGAGTTAAATTATCTAATCTTTTCCTACTTTAAGCAAAAAAAAAAAAAAAGAAGAATAAATGCACTTTAGGAATAATTTTTTTTTTTTTTCAAAAAGTCCCATAAACTCCTAAACCTTCTGACGTCTTTTTAAGAAGAGTTAAAGCTGTTCTAGCTGCGAATGGTGGATGTCATGTTAGCTACATTTACATAGATATAAATAATGGGATTGAAGACCTGATCCGATCAAAAAGGGTTCATGTAAACATGTCAGACATGTGAAGATTCGGTCTGATCGGAAAGAAATTTCCTTCCGATTGAGAGAGGTGTGGTTTTTCCAAACGCCATTGAGATTGGCCTCCAAGCACACAGCTATTTAGATCTTTGGATTAAAATCCATCTCCTCCATGCATGTGTGCAACATCAGCATGGCGTTTTTTCTCTTGACTGATCTGGAGGAGGTGGGTGCAGATGTAATGTGTGGATGAACACACCATCCTGCCCTCTACCCCTGTAGTAAAGGAGCCTTAGCATGAGGCACTGCTGATTCCTTAAGTTAACTAAAATTACCACCAAAAGTGAAAAGTATGATGCGATGAAGTTCCATATTAGAAAAAAAAAAAAAAAAAAACAACAACAGAAGAACCAAAGAAAAAGAAATGTCCAGGGCAGGCAAAAAGAGTAGCTAAAGTTGGGGATGAGCGGAGAAGTATTCAACTTCTACTCAAGTGTTTCCAGTGAACTAGACAGTTCTGTGCATGCTCAGGTTATTTAATCTGATCGAATACTTGCTACATTTATACAAAAATCATGATTGAATCCTTTTATATAGTCTCCATGTAAACTCTCCTATGGATTAGGAATGGAACGTCACTGAAGCTCAGATGAGAGTTGTAGCAAGTGAGTGAATACTTTTGGAAATCTAGTGTATTTTTGGAAATATTAGCATTTTTGTCTTCTATCGCCATCAGTCAATACATACATGTGAGCCGATTCATCAGCCACTCAGAAGCCATGCATCAAGGTCAAGTAAAGTGCATATATTGCCGCTCCCTCCATCTGCTACACACTATAGAAGTTTTCTGTGATATTTAATTTTTAATTTTTATTTCAAATTGAGACCCGTGTAACATTTATAGTATTTGTGTCATTTTATCATATAAATAGAAGAAGAGAAAGAGAGAGTGCATTGGCTTAAAAAAATTATCCTTAAGTTTGACAGATGTCAAAATAATCAGCTGATTTCTACAAAATTGTCTGTAATATAATGTGAAATGCATATTTTAGGTTCTTTGTTATAGGGTTTATTCTAGAAGACTGAATGTGTCATTTTCTTTACTAAGATCTTCATAACTTCTCATGCTGCTGCTCCAAGTCTGCTATAAGATTACAAAACACAGCTGGTTTCTTTCAGGGCCACTAAACCTGAAGGCTACATGTCTAGCGCCCCTAGTGGTTAAAAGGTCAACCATACTGTTTTAATGAAATTTTTTTTTAACTAAAAGGTAATTATGCATATTCAGATGTTTGCATTTTTTTCTTTCCTGGATGACAGCAATTATTTATGGAAACGTACATCTCCCTATTAAGCTGCGTATAGTTAAATATAAACACAGTAAAGTAGTAATGTCAAAGCCTTAAGAGAATTGGCATTGTTATCTAAAATAAAAAAAAGCTTTAAAAGAATAAGAGCAGGTTATGCAGAACCCTGAGAAGCTCTCCCTTACCCTGTAGATGACTTTGGGCTCGAAGGAGCACACAATGCTGCTATTGTACAGGACTGGATATCTCTTGTACACGTCTTTAAGCGCCGCAGCTGCCTGGATGGCAAGGAAAAAACCCCCAGAAGGGTGCCAAAAGGTCAGTCGGTTGTTTACAGTGATTGTTTTTGTTTGTGCAGTTTCCACACAGCTTCATGTTGTGAGTACAGCACCCTGCTGTGGGACAGACTCTAAAATGGGCCAAAGAGAAGAAATGAAAACAATGAACATTTACTGACTCAGCTAAAAATTAAACTTAGAAGTCCAAAAGCCTAAAAGAGATTGTGTGAAGCAGCACTTTAACCAAATTCATCCTCATCTCTCTTAAAAAAACTTGCATTGTTTAAAAAAGTGTGCACCTTTAGTGTAAATTCAAAACTTTGTGGAGGAAATAGAATCATCTTCTGCCTCTGCATTGGTTTTACACAGCTTTTTAGTCAAAAAACAGCCATTGCTAATAAAAAAAACCCCTGATAAAAGTCAAAACCTCCTAGTCCATCCTTACAGCCCTATAGAACCTATTATAGTAGATTTCCACACAAAAGGCTCTATTTGTGTCTTGTTACAGTCTACGTGTCTGTGTATTTTTATCCCATTATGTGTGCTTTTTAAAAAGAAATTTAAAGCAAACTTCTGCCATTTTGTTTTGATCATTGTCTTCTTTACTGTTAAAGCCATTTGTGGACCTCATGCTGCAGTACCTCACAGCATCGGAATTGTGTAGCAAAAAATGTGATGATGTGCTACAAAGCGTGGGAACGTCTACTCAGGGAGCAGGTGCAGAACCACTGAATAAATCCGAATTTGTGGTTTTAACATTAGAAAATGAGGCATCATTCAAAAGGTATTAATACTTCTGCAATAGACAGTAAAGGCCGTACATTGTCTTTGTCTTTACCAATTTTACCTGCTTGCTAATCAGATAAATGAGCTGACTGGCTGCACATTATCAATTCTGTTTAAAAGTGTTTCTGATGGCTGCACCTCGTCTGGATGACCTTTGACATCAAAGTAGATGGTGAGCTGCAGCTTGATGCATTTTTTCACTGCCTCTTCCAGAGTCGGGATCTTCTCACCAACAAACTTGGACCTAGTAAGAAAAGGAAGGCTCATTTACACCTTGCAAAGGTGCTTAATAGCAAAAAATAAAAAATCCCTTTATTAAAAAAAAAATAACTGTTAATATCAATCAGTCCCACTGGTGTATAAGAGATTCATACTTGACCCCTGACATTTTGATGATTAGGTTATGTCCTATATATAACAATACTTTAAATTCAACCATTCAATCAAAAGATACCCAACAGGATGACTGTCATACTCTTATGACCTTCTGGACCAAACCTCTTCTTACCTGAGCCGATGTTTAGCAGCTGCATCCAATTTACGCAGCTCTGAAAAGCTCATCTTGCTGAGTGGGCCCGAACCGTTGGTGGTCCGATCTACAGTTTCGTCATGCATTAGTATGGGGATCCCATCAGCTGAGAACTCCAGGTCCAACTCCACACCAGTGGCGCCATTCCTACTGGCCTACGAGCAGAGCATGTGCATAAGCATGTGAGATCTTTGAAAAAAGAAAGTAGTTTCATTAGGTTTGACTTGTTTGGAAGGACCATGATTATCGACATACATATATATATATATATATATATATATATATATAAATAAAAAAAGTGTTTCTTTGGACAAAGCTGACCTTTTCTTGCTCCTACATGTTCAAATCTCATGCAATGGTCTAATTAATCCACTAGGTGTCACTGATGTGCTACAAAGCCTGGGAACGTCTACTCAGAGTGCAGGTGGTTAATGGTATTATAATCATATTAATACTGAATTGCAAAAAAAAAAAAACTATAACAATTTATTTATATTTATATATATATATATATATATATATATATATATATATATATATATATATATATATATATTCCAGTTTCACTTCAGTTGAAATGTCTTTGCATCTGACTAGATATGTGTAATCTAAGATTAATCTAAGATTAAAATGAGATCTGAGGTGCCTCCTATTCATTCTGACAGTTGCTCTGTTCGAATTCATGGGATGCGTGCTCAGAAGGCCAGATTCGAAGGACGATTATATCATAGCGCGGCGCCGACGTCTGGTCGGATTCCAAGACTCCTTGTTATGCGACCTGCAAATGCGTCCTTCTTTTTGCCTGATTTCAAGGATGGGTCCGATGTATCCTCACTATCCTTGGATATCCCAGGATTCATTGAGAGTCCAAGCAAGCCGGCTGCTCCGTGATCAGAGGAAAGGTTACTTGGCGACAAACAGTGGTGAATATTGGAAGTTCAGTTTAATAGAATACAAGTATGTGAATAACTCTGTCTGAACTGAATGAAAATAGTTTTTTTTAATGATTAGTGAGTCAGATATGTGGCGGTTAATGTTTGATTTATCTAAAGGTTTTTATCTGTTACTGTGTAAATGGGTTTGGCTGTAATTTAAGAACAGATTCTAATACATCTGCAGTGTGGGGACTATTCATTTGATAAGATTTTTATTTTTTTATTGCTGTTTTGCACAACTTGCTTAACCAAGTAAGTTTTGTTGTTGAATATTAGAGATTTTGCAGATACATTTTTATACATACATTGTTTAGATGTACTTATATCTTTCTACCACATTTTAGAAAATCCCTTTATTGTCCCACAGTGAAGAAGTAAATATAAACAATAAAATACTGTAAAGTGTTTTAACAATATTAAACTGTGCACCTGGAGAATAAATAACCAATATTCAGCTATGGACATTTTACAGTAATGGATATTTGAAAATAGCAGAAACATCAGAGATGTGCAAAATGACAGCAGCATGTTATTAAAAAGACTAACGTTTATATCATTACATTTGATTTTATTTGTTCATTATCCCAGTGGTTGGAACCTTTATTCCACTCTTTATTCTCATAAGTGTAGTCTTTGTTCACTTTACAATAAAAAAATAAAAAAGTTTTGAAAAGTTCTGTTTTCATTCTTTTCTATTCGTTGCTAGGTGACAGAACCTATGGCCGTAAAAGTCGCTGAAGGGTAGACCTGTTTGAATTCAAAGCCAAAACTCTTCCGGTCTCCTTATTTTCAAGGACTTCAAATGATCCAGTCCAGGTAGACCGGGTGCTTGGAAGACGCAGCCTATGAATTCGAAAACAGCCAACAGCTGTCTGAACTATGGTCTGACCCAAGATGGCGCGGGCGTCCACGTATCTGTCCATGGTACAAAGTCTTTTGGCAGTTGAGCCAAAGAAACGTTTGTTGCCTAGCGACCAGATGCAATCCACTGTCGCTTTCTTTTAAATAAGAACAGAAGAAAGAGAAAATAATTTTGAAAAACGATGGAGTGGGAATGCTCTTAAGAGATTTTCAGGTGGCTTTTAAAAAGATTAGGGCTTGGTCGTCATGACGTAAGCAGTTTAGGTTGCCGCCATATTGACGGCCTCTTTTACCGCGGCTCAGACTACTGCCTATGACTACCACATACTGTACTCCTTCTCAGCCTGATTAATTTGACCTTAACTTGATTTCAACCATGGTAAACCGTTGCTGTATTGTGGGCTGTAACAGCTCAACACATGATCGCCATGGGAAAAACATAGAAAATGGGTTAACTTTCCACCGCTTTCCTGCCTGGAGGCGTAACCATGGAGACCAAGCGTCAGAGAAAAAGAGTCGTCGGCTAGCTTGGATCGCGGCTGTAAGACGACCGAACATAACTTTCCACAGTATTCCAATGTCAATGAGAGTGTGTTCCCTGCATTTTCATTCTGGTAAGGTAAAGATGCACGGTTTTATTTTATAGCCTACTTTGTTTCTTTCCTTCAAAGTTGGGATCTTTTACGGGAAAACAATAAAAACGGCAGCGGGAAAAGGCTCAAATACGTGAGAAACCCGGAGGGTTGGCAGTTAACGTTACTAACTACACCTTTGAAACACATAGCAGCTAGTTAAAAGTACATTACATGCGTGAGTGGTTGTTAGGATTAGCAGTTAGCGGTTGCTAAACTAGCAGGTTCCAGAGCCCGTCTGATCACAGCTTACCTTCGTACGGATTACTGTGTTCCCACTGTTTGCTGGCTTTATGATCTGCAGCTCCTGAACCCATCCATTCATGAACTGCATATGAGACTCCAAGGACTTGTAGCTTCGGAACTGTTTTGAAGTATAGGCGCTCACTCATCGGTGCTCCACTCATTGTTTGGAACTTTATATGGATCCAAATTATTAATAATGCTGATTTTGTCAACATACCGGTCCGAGGCTTCTCTATTTAATGTGTCCTGGTAAATTCCAGATCTTTTTCGGGATTTTGACATCTTTTTTCTCTCTACTTCTACGTCTCTTCTTTCAACAACAACGTTGTATCAGAGCTATGTTTACGTTTGCGTAGCCGTCAATATGACCGCGACGTCCCACAATGCAACGTGGATCCCGAGCCCTATACATTAAAGAAAATCATTGGATTAAAAACGTTTTTATCCAGCAAAACAACGGACAGTCGCCTGCACTTTAATAAAATTTGATTGTATTGTGAACAAGTGGAAAAAACTTTAATCTAATAATTATTTTCCATTTTTAACCATTTTAAGTTATTCATTTGTTGTAGTATATCGTAACTATGGCAAACAAATTACCCCACATACTTTATTTGCAAGGTTTTCCTTTTTAAAATAAATTTTATATTTAATGTGTTTATTTTTTAGCCATCACTCTTACCTCCCGTATAGCTGCTATGGTGTTCTCCGGTGCATCGTGTCCCCCGCCGCGGTGAGCGACCACGGACACCTTCCCCACTAGTGGGTGCAGCACCTTCTGCGCCCGACTGGTCGCCACCGGAGGGAACCTAAACATGGCTAGAAAGAGATAGAGGGAGGCGGTGAGGGCAGTGGACCACATGGGGCTCCGGGTTCCCACCAGGACCAGCACGAATACCAGCGAGTAGAGGGTGACTTCATCTCCAAACTGAAGCATTCTGGTTCTCCTTTTTTTTCTCCTGTCTTTCGAGTCGAAAAGCCGAAAATACCTTCACACTGCACACAGTTACTGAACTAAAGGGGTAATTTCCTTTAAAAAAATCGTGTCGACACATACATCTACTATATCTAAACGTTATTTTATTTTGGGAATTTTAATTTGAAGACTTACAAAAACAAAACAGCCCACGGCCAGTCAGTTGGTAGGACATTTAACCGAGTTGACGGACGGGGGAACGCTTTTTATGTTGCACATAGCAGCGGAAGTGTCCGAATAAAGGTTCCGGGTTACTGCTTTAACCTCAAAGTTATGCATTTATGACAAAATAAAAGTAGTAATAAAGGTAAAAAGTCAAATGCAGTTTGTGATTTAATTATTTAGGTATTTTTAAAATAATGCATTTGAAAAAGAATTGACGGTTTGCCCTTTTAACTTCATCCGGGTCGATGTATCGGCTACCTTCGTAGGAAGTTCACAAGTTAAACACAAGTCGACTCTGATCACGTTGCCTTTTACTATTTTTTTCTTAATCCTTTTATTAAAAAGAACAGCCACCATGGTGAGTAATTCACATTATTTAAATTGTTAACTAAGTGTGAAAAATAGGCAAAGTCCTGTTTATATGCTAGCTACAGCTTTCCTCCTCACTAGCATCAGTTAATCAGGGCTGTCAACTCTCACCCACTGGGAGTGAGATTCACCCATCTCTGTGTCTTCACACTCTCACTCCATATTCAAATTTAACAGACATTAAAACTCAACTCCATTCCACTTATTTATGTGTTGTATAGTACTTGAGTAAATATGAATAAATACAGCAGCTAGCTTAAGTTATTGCCGTAGAGTGTTGGATCACATCCAATGGTTTCTTTTCTCTTTACCTGCTGCTTTTTTTAGTCTCAGTTTTAGTCCATGTTTTTCTCACAAGTTAAATAATTATTGCTCCGTCTAGTTTAATAATATCCAGTTGGCATTTAGGAATAATTATACCAACACTAATATTTTAATTGTTAAAGCTTCCAGGTTTACCTCTCAAACCCATAGAAAGGTCCTTAAAAAGAAACAGAACAAATTGCATTTTATTTTTCATAAGATCAGCCACTCAAGAAAAGACCAACTACATTCAGAGAGGATGTGCAGAACAGCTCAGTTATTCAGGATTCATAGAGAAGAAACCACAGGGATGCTCTTCTTTTATTATTACTGATCATATTCATTTATCTTTATTTTATTCCATTGAATATGTTTAAAAACTTATTTTCCATCACACCTTCAAAACTGAAACATCCAGGGAAGTGCCGTCTCCTGTCATGGTGAGTTTTTGTCAATTGTAAGATTGATTGTAACTAATAAGATAATGAATAAAGCTTTTTAATCCTTAGCCTATTACCAAATATTCATACACAGTGAAGTTTGCATAGATTTCAATTGCACTGGTTCCTGTTAACCTGCTGTTAACAGCTCCAACTTAGGTTTCTAAAGTTACATTCAGATACAAAGCTATATAAGCAGATATTAGCTAATAACTCAAAATGCTCCTGAAAGTTGAAAGCCTAACTAGAAGAACCTTACAGACATTAAAGCCGTCTAATTGTCTTTCTAAACATTTATCTGCAGCTCATCTATCAGTAGTAGATGATTGCACTGCTTTTTATCACAAAGTCTTTTTCTTCCTTCTCCACAGATCAGGCCAGTATCTCTCAGCAGGTTGCCTCCTCAGGTCCTGTTCTGCACCAGAAGATCATCTCTTCTCTCAGCATGTTTTCAGCGTCGTTCAGCTCACACCCCAATCTTTCGGAGTCGTTGTGAAACCCTTGCACCGAAAGTCACCACCCTGGTCAGATACTCGGACTTGTCCACGCAGAAATACTCTATGATTTACACCCTGCCATACATTAAGCTCCTCAGAGCTATATCCAGGCTGAAGCTGCTTCAGACGGCAATCACTATGGTGCTCTTGCCCTCAGTGTACGTCCTCTACTTCCAAGGACATGTTTCCTTCTTTCTAGTTGGCTACTCATCTGGGATTGCACTATTCGCTGGCGTCATGCTCTATGCGGCCAGTCACGTTTTTAGGAGAGTTGTGGGAATGATGTACCTGGATCCGTCCCAGACTACGCTTAAAGTTTCTCACCTCACATTCTGGGGCAAGCGCCAAGACATCTACCTGCAGGTGTCAGACGTTATGACCATAGGTGACACTGGAGACTCTGCAACTGAGGCTATACTGAAACTAAAGAGATACAGCAGTCCAGACACCTTTTATTTCTCAACTCATTTTGGACGGGTGGTGGATAAAGAAGGCTTTGAAAAGGTCTTTGGAAGTTTAAAATAATTACAAGACAGTTACTGACTTGGCAAAGATGCAATAAATAATAAAAAAAAGATGTATTTTGTTGGCATTGTAAATTATTAAAATAAAATTGTAAAGTCATTTTTTGTTGGTACAGTTTCAGAGATTTTGTTTTCCACAGTGTCTAATAAACTAGGTGGGTTCCTTTTATCGTAATAGCAACAAAGCTGCAGCAAAGTTATCCTGCATTTATTGTGGCTGAATGAATGATAAATGAGAGTTGACAAAAAGAAAGTAGGTGGGTTGAATCCGTTAAGGCTGCACAATATATCAAATCGCAATCTTGATTACAAATTGTGTGTGTAATAAAGCTATGTTGAAATGTCAGCCATGATTTGCAGGATATTTGAAAGGAGTTCACCCTCTGTATAATTGTGACAATTGGTAAGAGGGAATGGGCTCTAACTTCCTTAATTGCTGTGAAATAAAATAAGCATATTTGCACCAACACAACCTGCCTTTTTAATTAAGCTCAAACTTGCAAACATGCATGTACAGACTCTAATTTGTTTTATTTTTTATCTCAAGCTGAAATTCATGATATACTTCAAAGGTTGGTGTTGGACAGTGGGGGAATTTCCACATAACATTTTTTTTTTGGGAGGTTATTGTTGGATCCTGACAAATGGCGCCCCCTGGCGTTTCTAAGGAGTAATGTATTCAAAGAGGATCAGAAAAAAGATAACAATAAATAAATAGAAAATTTGGGCCTTTCTTTTGAATAACTAACCAAAAAGCAGCTAAGCGTAGACATGTGTAGACAAGTATCTTAGTTTTATATCAATTATCTAACTTGAGATATAAATGTAGACATATCTAATATATATAAGTCAATCTTAAATTTTCTCAGGTATGCAATTTTTATATCAGCTAATAAAGAAAGGAACTTGATTTGCTCCCGCTGTGAATCCAAAAAGAATGAGTTAAGTTTAGCCGTACTGATTAGTGTAGGTGATCAAGCTTTATATAATATTTTTTTATATATTTTTTATTATTTTATTTTGTCTATTCTAACATTCTAAAGACAAATAAGCAGAACATCTGAGTGTTTTCGTTCATAAAAAAAAACAACAACCCAGAACCCATTGCGGTAAGATTTAACCATTTTACTGTTCAAAACATGCGAACACATTTTTCAATTCAATAAACACTATCCATGAGCGTATTTAGATCAAATAGCGAATTACATGGTACAAGTTTAAGCTTTTCAATTTTCTCTCCATGAAAAGGTTTTTCTTCACCGAATGTCGACAGAATGCAGCATCCTAAGCATCATGGAGGTGACACAAATGCAAAGTGCAAAATTAGAAAGCTTTATTTTCCTGAAAGGAAAAACTCACTCAGCAAAAAATAGGTCCAACACACCCTTAAAACGGTACAATTAAATGCTACAGGTCAATAAGAGTGCATTATATGCAAGGTTATCAAGTCAAACTAAGAAGGGTAAATGTGTGGAGTGACAATCATTTTACAAGCTCACAGAAGGTACCAGGCTGTAAAGCCAGTAAAGAGAGCAACCCAGGCAGCTAGAGCAACCTGACAGGGCAGATGACCCACAAACATCTTGGCTAACTGGAGCGCATAGGAGGGATTCCCACTGATAGCTGCAGAAAGGAGAGGGAAAAGTTTAGACATAGAAATCGGATCACGTGTTAAATAAAGTGCATAAGAAAAAAAATGATTCAGTACACAATTTTTCTCCACTAAGCAACAAAAAAGGGCATCATTGGCAACTAATTCCAAGAAATCCTTAGAATGGAGTTAAACATTAGAGCTCATCCACATTGCATAGGATTAAAAACAATTGATAGAGATTGGTACTTACTTTACAATACCAATATATTACAATATAATATTTGGTCATTTTAAATAGTAAAAAGATTTCTAGTCACAATCCTTAAATTGGGAACCTGGAAAAACCCAAACAAGCAAACAAGACTATATATATATATATATATATATATAGTCAAAGAAACAAGAGGAATGACAAAAACAAAGAAAGACTTTTGAGAGGTATGCCATGAGCAAAGGAGACAGGGTAAAGGAGGGAAAGGAAGGACACAAGAAAAGAAAACAAAGATAAGGAATGTGGTTATTACACAAGGAAGGAAGGGGATAAAATCCAGTCATTAAAAAAAAAAGACTAAAAACAAAACAAGTCAGGGATGGACTGAGGAATGAAATGGACGAAAGGCATGAAGTTTTCCTTCATGCCTTTCATGAAGTAATAGTGCAAAGATGAAGGAGGGAAACAATGAAAACTGGCAAAGATGAGGTGTGGGCAGCAAGAAAGGAATGAAGAAAAGATAGGAAACAAGGAGATACAGAGAAGGAAGGACACAAAGGAAATATGGAGCCTCCATCCATTTTTTTCAATCACGCCTATCCCTGCTGGGGTCGCGAGGGGTGCTGGTGCCTATCTCCAGCTGTCTACGGGCGAGAGGCGGGGTACACCCTGGACAGGTGGCCAGTCCATCGCAGGGCAACACAGAGACAAACAACCATTCACACACACGGTCACGCCTAAGGAGAATTTAGGGAAGCCAATTAATCTAACAGTCATGTTTTTGGACTGTGGGAGGAAGCCAGAGTACCCGGGGAGAACCCACGCATGCAGGGAGAACATGCAAACTCTATGCAAAAAGACCCCGGCCCGGGAATCAAAGCCGGAACCTTCTTCTTCTACCCACTGTGTCACTGATCAGCCCCAGATGGAGCATAAAAGGATGAAATCACAACATTTAGAATACGAGATATAAAATACAATCTGGAGATACAGATGTTTCACATACCCATTTATTTTTTTCTAAGACTTCCAGATTATTGAAATCACCCCCTTTACTCTTCTGGACTGTTTTTAAACCCTTCTAAAACACACACACAGACTAAATCTGTCAATTTAGTGACTTCTCCGGGCTACATTAAAAAATCTAGGGCTGAAACAATTAATCAGATTAATCATGATTAATCAATTATTGAAATAATCATCAACTAATTTAGTAATTGATTAATCGCTAACTGGAGTATAGAGACTCTAAAACATTTCTGTAGCTGACAGAGGAACCCACTTAGAGCAGTAATTATGCCAAGATAGTTAAAAAAATATATAACACTTTTGAATTTAAGATAAAAAAAATTAAGATGTCTCTGTGAAAATGCTCTATCTAGAACTCCTCAAGTGGAAAAGTTTGAGTTTCACCTGGTCTAATTTAATAAAAAGTCTTCTTTGAGGAATCTTTGGCTATCTGATTATTAATCGATTAATACAAAAAATAATCAACAGATAAAATGATTTGCCAAATAATCTTTAGTTGCAGTTGCAGGCCTAAAAAAAAAAAATCACAGCAAATTTAAGTTTCTCATTCGTAAAAATCAGAATTAAGTTGTCGTTTTTTTGCTATGTTTTGATTTTCCTAACAACTAAACTCTGTTTTCTGCTACTCTATCATGTATAAATCCCTAAATTTAAGTTATTCCCTTCAGCATCACAAAATAAGTTGAGGTGGAATAGAAACTAAGATAACTTTAGGTGCTAGAAATCCCTAATAACTGACATATTGTACCACAAAAAGAGTGTGGGAGACTACTTGTGCAGGAGAAATATTTTGGGTAGGAACACTAAAGGGCTACAGCGATATCTTACCCATTTTAGTAGCATAGTATGGGCATTTGTTGATATCATCTTCTTGAAAGATCTCTCCATGACCATGTCCAAAGTGCCCCTCCTGTCCTTCCTCTTTGACAGATTTGCCGATTTCTTCCAGCTCTGAGAAGACCTGTTCCGAGTAGCAACATCCCCATGTCAGCTTCAACCTTCTGTTTGCTTTTATCCTTCATGCTTACCCACCATCATGTTGAATGCAAAGGCCCGATTGGACTCGTCCACAATCCTTTGTTTGGTCTCCATGTCCATCTCCAGCTCATTCATCCTGCTTCGGTACAACTGCTTAAAGCCCCTTTGGCTGGTAATTCCTTCAAACTGGTAGAAGTTTAGACCCTCCCCTGTTGTTGGCAGCTTCAGAGCCCTTTGGGCCACTTTTTTGAGAATCTGTCCTCCTGAGAGATCCCCCATGTAGCGGGTATAGGAGTGGGCTACTAACAGCACTGGGTCCTTCTCTCCCACCTCGTGGATTCGGTCCACATACGGCTTGGTGCCTGCAGAGAGACTGATCTGCCAGAGAAAATGCAGCCATTACAAATTAGCACTTTATCTGTAACAAAGCTTCCTGATGACATAAATTAGTATCAAAGACATATGTCCTTTTCCAAATTCAGAGCAATATCAAATTAGCACTCAAAGTTAAAATTTTGATATAATACACTTAACCCTCTCCAGGCAGATGTTGCAGATTTGCAACAGCTAAATGCTACTTAGCTAATTACTCCACATCCATATTTTAAGAGCTTTTGTTACTCAGAAGTACAACAGAAGGACTTAGTTGTGCATTTGCAACAAACAGTTTCTCTCCAGCTCACCAGATAGCACTGCTGACTCACTTTCAACATGGCTGAGTCCTTGGTGGCACTGAAACAGATTTTCTAAGCACCAATTTCATGTAAGTATCACAACCAATTTCCATTATTTTTAAATCAATACTACATAAGATGAATCATGAATGTGTATAGATATGACACATGCCAATTAGTAGATTTTATCTCTTCTGGGTTTTTCACCAGAGGCATCTCGATTTCAATGTTGTGGATTCGCAACATGTGCCCAAACGGGTACCAATGAATGCTACATGCTTTATCTACTAGGTTGCCTATATTTTGAGCAACAGTTTAACAGAAACGGCCTTTTCAAAAGGTTTTGAGATGTCGTTGGAAAAAAAGTTTGAGAAAAAGTTGTCTCTGATTTTGTGAGAGAACATTTTTTATTTTTATTTTGTTTTGTTAATTTTTGTTTGTGATGTTCAAATGAAGTTAATGTTCATATCAGATTCAGTCTTCAGTGTTAATTTACCAATCCAGGCCAATGTTGAAAATCTGCAACATCCCAGAATTCATTGCATGTGAAGGTCTCTCTCAAAAAAAAAGTCTGAATTGTATATTACTACCCCATGTGTTCATTTTCCCCAAATATCAGATTTTTCCTGCAACTACAATTTAATTTGAGCCTGAGAGGGTTAAAAAAAGTAAACAAAAAAACCTGAATAAAAGCTAATCAATGTCAGCAGAGTAACTGTGTTAAAACTGTTATTTTTTTTATTTACTTGGCTTTCCCAGTCCTCTCCATAAAAATATTCCAGGTCTTGGGCCAGGGCCTCTTGACGGTGCAGCTCAGTTGGAAAATAGATTGGGGCGATATAAGGGTGATCTTTATTCTTCTCTATCTCCTCCTCCATGGCGGAATAGACAAAGTACAATGCTGCAGTTCCTTTCTGTTGAGAGAAAAGGAAAAAAAAAAACAAATGGCTGAGATTTTTTTTTCAATAATGTGAGCATGATTTCTATGATTTTTGAAATGTGCATGATTTTTGGACATGATATCTTAAAATGTCTCTTTCTGATATATTATTCTTTAAAGAACTGTAATTTTTGTTTTTATGGAACAAAGATTTTTTTTTAGGAAAATAAAGACGGGTGGTGGATGCTGTGCAGCTGGAAGATTTATTCTTACATCTTTTTATTTTGGAATAATTGTTATGGCAAATTAAAATAATAACTAGTCCTCCTCTATATCAGAGAGCTTTTTATCATCATCTTAAAAGCTGAAATAAAACTTCAGCTACATCTTTGAATCCCAGATGAGTGTAAAAGGATGCAGAGAATGAGAGGAAAAATGAAGGAAGAAATTCAAGCCATCTTTTCCATCGATTTATATTTCATATCGATTAATATGAAATATTTTGGAAATGAGCTGGATAAAGTCTAAGCATACATGACTGCAAGATGAAATTCCCTATGCCAGCCTCTTTCTGCAGGGCTTTTAACCATATGAGAGAAATATTAAAAAAAAAAGCGAACAAAAGGAAAGGTGATGGATTAGCAGTGCTTGGGGACAACAGATACTGTCAATGACAGTGTTATTTTGGCAATAATTTATGCTTAAACATCAGCTGTTGACGAGGTGGGTGATGTCTCAGTGTTTGCTAGGTTACAGACACAACACTCCAGTGTGTTTGTGCAATATGCTGTGATTTCAATCAAGTCTCAATTTCTGCTACACTTCAGCTCATTACATGGTTGTCGGCCACTCTACCAGAGAAAACAACATTTTGTACCAGTCTTGATGTAAATGTCAAGGACTCATATATTTCTAAAGCAAGGCATCCTCTGAGTACTTTAGATCACGTTCTCATTTTTGTCTGCTCAGAAAATAAGTCTCTCTTTTAGAGGCTACCTGTAATAAAGTGTGTGAGAAGATAGTCACAGAAAGCTAATAAAGCCCTGCTAGGCTGTTTTGAGGTAAATAGAGTCTGAAAACCACATCGAAAGGACATCTTGTTTAAGCGTTTAACTGGATGTGTAACCTGCGTCTCAAAGTTATGAGGGACAGAAACAGTGAGGAAAGTATTTGAACATTGCTATGTTGCAAGTTATCCCACTTAGAAATCATGGAGGGGTCTGAATTTGTAATTGTTGGTGCATGTCCACTGTGAGAGACATCATCAAAAAAAGGCATCAAGAATACACAATATATATTTTTTTAAATTATTTATTTGTATGACACAGCTGCAAATAAGTATTTGAACACCTGTATGTCAGCTAGAGTTCTGTTAATCTGCCTTTCAAAATGCCCACCTCCACTCTATTTATTCTCGTAAATTAGATGCACCTGTTTGAGGCCGTTAGTTGCAAAAAGACACCTGTCCACCCCATGTAAGAATGTCAGTAAGAATCCAACTACTAACATGGCCAGGGAAAATACTTATATCTCAGGAGTATGTCTATGTTCTTTGCAAACCTGCTTGTAGTTAAACTAATAGTTCACAAATATGATTAGCCCCAAAATTGTATGTTGTTTTTTTCTGTCCTTTTTTTTTTTTTAGAACCGTTTCACTTACAGAAATCCTTTTGTTATAATTACAAGAGACTTGCAAATCATTCTTACAAAATACATATAAGATCAGAATCGTGATTTTAGATAAAAAAAAAAATACTTGTAACCTTCTCAGAGCACAAGTGCACTGCTCTAACCACAAGGTCAACACTCCCCAAAATCTGAAAAACATAAACCAACCTTAAACAACTCCCTAATGATGCGGCCCCTGAGGAAATCTTTGACGAACTGACAGTTTTCTGCTCGGTCGTGGGCCTCCTTGGTGCCCTCAGCTAACATCTCAGACAGGTCAGTTGGACTTGTTGAAAGAGAAACATAAAGAACAGCCATCAGCACTTATAAAACATCCTTGTAATTTTTTTTTACATTTTTTAGGCAATGTCTTTACCTTAGAACCTCATCACCACTGTCCACAATAATCCTGGCTCCTCCTTTCTTCATGCCATTGGGCTTGGGCTCAGAAGTTATATTATTATTCATCTTTCTGATTTTCTCAGAATCTTCACCCTAAGGAGAAATGACAACAATAAATTTATAATATATATATATATATATATATATATATATATATATATATATATATATATATATATATATATATATATATATATATATATATAAATATCATATATAATAATAATATTAATAATAATAATAATAATAATAAATAGACAACATTTTGATCACACATTTTGTGATACAAAACAAGACTCTTAATCACATTGTAATCAAATTACTGTGGCTTTAATAAATTTCCACTCCATTTCAGGATTTTAATATTTCAATTCTATTTAAAATATGTTTGTTTACTGAGGTGAAGTGAAACACCACAAACAAACAAGTGTTCAAACCAGTCAACGCTTGTTTTCAGTTAAAAATAAACTCCAAGTTGTTCTACAGTGAAGGAATCAGACATTATCGTGTGGTTTCTCTACAACACAGGTCACAGATTAGCAGACCAGGGTCCGGACCCAACCTGATTTGAAACATTTATAAATTGCTGCATGTTGTCCAACAGCAGTGTCTAACTTCACTTGCGCCGCTTCTCCTGTTTATATGGTAAAGCCCTCCAGAGTGACCGGGACCAGGCTACACGTGATACAAATTACTTAACTTTTAGATACAGCAAGGAAACCTGTGGCAAGCCGGGCGATGGGAGAGAAGGAGAAGATGATGAGAAAAAGTGAAAGTGTGGACTGCTGGAAGAGCTGCGGTAAACTGGAGAAAGAAAAGTGAAATGTTGTGCTCAAAGATGACCCGGCACATTTTTTGTATGTTTGGCTCAACCTGCTGCTGTGAAGCAGGATTCTCCACCATAAACATAATCAAAAATAAATATGGATCCAGGCTCAAAATAATCACCTTGATATGTGCTTTAGAATGGCTTTGTCTCCATTCAAACCCAGGTTTATAAAACTTGCAGGGCAGCATAAAGCCCACTGCTCTCATTAAGCCAGAAAAAAAAGACTGTCAGTGTCAAAATGGTCAGTTCAGGTGTTTTATAAAATATGTGAATCAGGAAATTGTCTATATACCAAACTGAACAATTGTTGTTCTCTACTTCAAAAAACACTTTAGATTTTAAAATAGATTTTTTTTTTTTTTTTATAAATTCAATGTATAACATGGATGCATAAAAACCTCATTTTATTTCAGTGTTAAATTCTGTTTAAAGTAACAGATTATAATAAAAAATGACTGGTTGTTGATTTTCTTTATTCAGACCCTGCTGATTCTTAATAGGTTACCCCTGATCAACAATAATCATGTCATACAATCATTCTTAAGAGTTCTTCAGAATTTGCCTTCAATCTTTTCAGCCTAGCATCCAAAACATTGAAAAGGCACACTTGACATTTGGGGGACAGTTACAAAACCGACACTGCACGTCATCGTTGAGAGGGCATTTATAAAAGTTTGCTGACATTTAAACTGTGGAAATAGCGACGATTATAGCTTCAAACTTTAACGCGCGACATTACTGTTATTTTAATTAGGAAATAAGAAACGAATTACTTTGTTTACCTTGTAAATGCGAAACATGCGTCTCACGTCCAAATGCAGCAGACCATGACGTTAAGACGAGTTCTTATGAGAATAAGCCAATCAGAGGCCTTTCAAACAGATAGAAGAATATGATTGGATAAAAGCTACACCAATCATGGTGCTTATCAATCCCATTGGCTCCGCCTCCTTAGAGTTTCCGCCATACTATGAGTGGCAGGTAAACACACGTAACTACATATATAAGCAGTAAAAATATATCAAACTATTGTGAAGTAATTTGTTGTACACATTTGTATACTTTAGGACGATTAGTACATTTAATTTTTTTTTTAAATCTATTTATTAAATGTACATAAATAAAATATCCATATAAAACACTGATAGTTTTAAAATGAAAATAGTCTTAACAGAAAAGCAGATTTTGCTAAATACTGCATTGTAAAAGATTTAAATCTAAATAAGTCTTTTTTTTCTTAAAATTAGTGATTTTTTTTAATTAAGGAGGTAAGTGAGTCACTTTGCCTATGGAACAAGACAATTTACATTTAAAATAAGAGAAAATAAATGCATTGTCTTATTTCAAGTGAATATTATCAAATTATCTTATTTTGAGAATATGTCAAATGGAAGATTATCCTATTTACCTACTCAAATTAAGGGTAAATACACTTAATTTAAGAAATGTTGACTTATTTTTATGAGAGATTGTTTTTGCAGTGTCAAGCACAACGTTTAACTAGATCAAAAAGGTTTGAGCACATTACTCCGAACTTAAAATACCATCTGTTGCCCGTATGTTTTAGGATCCTTTTTAAATTGCTCTTATTTGCTTTTACCTTTATAAGAAGCAGCACTCTGCAAAAAAAATGAAATCTCAATAAGTCATTTTTTTCTTAAAATAAGTGATTTTTTTCTAGAATTGAGGAGGTGAGTGAGACACTTTCCAATGGAACAAGACAATCTACGTTTAAATTAAGAAAAAACAATTGATTTAAGAGTAAATATACTCATTCTATTGGCAATCATCTTATTTATCTACTCAAATTAAAGGTAAATACACTTAATTTAAGATATTTTAACTTATTTCTAGATCTATTTTCCACTGTACCTACCTGATCCCTAAGGTCTGCCAACCAGCAGCTCCTTGTTGTCCCTAAATCCAAGTGGAAGCAAAGAGGAGATTGTCCCTTCGCTGTAGCAGCTCCACAGTTGTGCAATAATCTGTCCTTGAATGTCAGGCCAGACTCCTCTCTTTCAGAGTTTAGAACACACCTGCTTGCTGAGGCATTTTGTACATCCTGAGAGCTTGACACTATATTTACTTTATTTCATTTTTTAATCTTCTATTTTAATAAACTTTACATTATTTTAAATTTGAACTATTCTAACAGTTTTTTTTTTTTACTATTAATCTCAAATTTAGCTTGTCTGTATTTTACTTTCTATTTAAAATTTACTTTTGTTTTCAATTGTCTGTACAGCACTTGGATAACTTTTGTTAATTAAAAGTGTTTTGTAAATAAAGGGGTATAGTATGGTGATAAATCCGGTTTGGTTTTAATAATAGATATCTTACAGAGTTGAGTATTTAAGCTCAGAGGTGTGTTGTAAGTTAGTATAGACAACATATTGGTCTTTATGGATCTTATTTTTTTTGCTGTAATCAGTCAGTCATGGAAAATGTGGAAACTTGAGGAGTGAAAATATCTATACAGGAACTATACAATGGAGATTTACATCAGCTGATATGTTTTCTCGCTGACATATTGGAAGTTTCATAAAACAAGACATGTTCCTTTTAACTTTTAATTTCACCTGGGTTTTCCTCTGTTGTAAATATGGACCCAGGGGCAATTTAGGAAATTTGGGGCCCTATGCAAAGACAGGCATGGGGCCCTCTGAATTGAGAAGACAACTCATAATACAGACCCCTTATAGAGATACAGAAATTTTAATAGAAATGACAAACATTATCTACTAAATTTTGCCTGCCTTTAATTTTAAGCTATCTGAAATTATATTACGCCTAGGGAAAATAACAGTTCAAGATATCTTTATCACATTTTGGATAGTCAAAAATGCATTTTGAGATATCTTAAATTAAGTCTCTGATTTGCCATTTAAAGTTTCACACATCCTGAATTATAATCAATATATTTCAGTTAATTTGAACTAGTCAAAACTATATTTTTTAATATCAGAATTATGAAATACCCCCTTGGTGCTGTCATTGAGCTGTCCTAACATTTGCCTGAAGAATTTTGCATGGCTGCAATGAGTCTGACTCTTCTTGACAAAGGTGTTTCAAAATGCCACAGTATAGAAAGAACTCAGCAGTATGTGATATGCGAAGAACAAGAACCTTGTCAACTCTAAGACTGCTTCAGAAATCTGTCAGGAATTGCAGCGGGGAAGCTGGGTATTCAAGCTCCGCTGAGCTATACGCACCTATCTCACCGTTGATCCGATTCAGGAGCTGAGACTTCTGCCAGCCGTTCTCTGTTACTCCCTCTTCTTACCGACAGTGTTTTTTTTAGCATCAACAAATTTCTGAACTAAGCACTCTTGAGAAATAAGAATAAATAAATAATTCCCTTGTCTCATTACCAACTTAAAAAAGGGTAAATCTTGCTAAGTGATTACATAAATGAGGCACACCATTTTAATTTAATTATACTTTTTTAAAGACTTTTTTTGGTCACAACATTTTGTGCACACTAGTCGCCACTGTTGCCAACTCTCCAGCAAAAAAGGCTGCTATTGGCTGACCTAAATGATGCTATAAGGCGGTAGATGACGTCATCACCCAATCTGCATATTTCATATCATCCAGCTGTAGGCGATTCAGATTTTTTTGTGGTCTGTCAAAGCAGTGCAGAAAGATAGCTGGAAGGGAAAACTTGTGGGAATTTTAAGAGTATTATCTTTTATAGATAGAAACAAGTAAATAAAATACATATAATTCAGCCATTTAGTTCCACACCCCATGCCAGTTATTGTCAGTAATTCACCATTAATTGTTTGCCAACCAATGAAAAAACCTCACGAAGAAGAAGAAAGCAGTGCAGACAGGAGGAGAAATTGAAAAAAGCAATAGTTCATTTTTATAAAAATGGTTTTATAAATTATTTTGTAACCTTGAGCGAGATTAGTAAGAGCTTTAAACCTGTGCAATTAATTTGCAATCTGGATTCAAAGTTTAAAGGTTCTCTCTCTTTCTGTGCTGCAGTGCAGCGTGCAGGCAGCCTGCCCTGCATGAATCATGACAGCGGACAAGAGAGAGTAGAGCAGGAGGCAGGTTTACGAATCTACTCGCTCTGGAGAGCAGAGTTCAGTGCTTTTATATGTTGTTGCCAAAGTCTGCAGTAGCAGAAAAAAGTCGCTAGATTTGGTGCTAGGCGCTTTTTTTGAAATAAAAGCGCTAGAGGGATCTGAAAAGTCACTATATATAGCCAAAAAAAGCATTAAGTTGGTGATAAGGCGCCATTTGTTTTCAAATGGTTTGCTGCTGTCTGTTTGATTGGACCTTTCTGCACATGCACAGCAAATGGACTGATCCAATGTGGTGGATCAGTCAGTGACACACTTAATATTATACGCATTCCGATGGCATTTTAGCAAAAGGATTTTTATCAAAAACATAATGTGCACAAATAAGTAAAAGCTGTATTAACTAGGGATGGGAATCGAAAACCGGTTCCTGTTCAGAACCGGTTCTGTATTTTCCGATTCCATGGCATCGTTTGGCAGCTCTCTGAACGATTCTTTTTTCGATTCCCGCAGCACCAGAGCCTAGAGCGCCGGCTCTGGGATGCACGACTTACGTCACGTTTTTTACGTAAGTTACGCAAGTTACGCAAGTTGGAAGAACTATTCGAGGAGGAAGACAAGCCCCGTCTTTCCTTAGCCCAGAGGTTAGATCAGGAAATCCAGCTCTATAAAAGCTTGCCCTCCATCCCCTGCAGGGATAGCGCCACACTGTGGTGGTGGAACAAGCAAGATACGCTGCCCTTGCTATCTGGACTGGCTGAAAACTACCTCTGTGTGCAGGCTTCCTCCACCCCATCTGAGAGGGTGTTCTCCACGGCTGGAGACACCATAAGCCCTGAAAGATCCCGTATCCTTCCAGAAAAAGCAGATATGCTCATCTTTCTGCAAAAGAACTGTTAATTTTCCCTACTACTGTTTTATAATTAGTATTTTTTGTTATTTAAAATAGGTTATTATCCCATCATTTGTTATTAGACATTGTTGGTTATTAAGTTTGTTCTTGTATTCATTTTTCATTTAAACACGGATGTTACTCCAGTTTCACATTTCCTGTGGACATCTTGATCTTGTTGATTTTGTAAGATTGTGCAATAGTTAAGTAAACAAAGTTGATGCTGATAATCAAACTGTTTGTTCTCCTTTTTCCCCCAAATTGGAATCGAAAAAAGAATCGATAAAGAATCGAATCGTTTCATAGAATCGAAAAGGGAATCGGAATCGTGAAAATCTTTTCAATTCCCAACCCTAGTATTAACCATACATGTTAAAGGAGTTCTATGGGGCCCCCAGGAACCTGGGGCCCTAGGCAACTGCCTAGTTTAGCCTACAGCTAAAACCGCCCCTGCATGGACCTCAAGTACTTGTAGCTCACACACCTGAAATTCACCTCTGCAAGAAAAGAAAGGATTATTCTACTCTGCTCTAACTTGTGTGTGGATGAACCCTGTTAAACTAAAAGTTTTGTCATGGCAGATGAAAGAGGACCTACAAGCACTTTTTTTTCAGGTAGGCCTACTAATAGTGGTACATAAGGTGCCTGTGTGAGCAAATGTTAATAAATCTATGCCTAGCAAGTCTGTATACCCCCCCCCACACACATCTATCTATCTATCTATCTATCTATCTATCTATCTATCTATCTATCTATCTATCTATCTATCTATCTATCTATCTATCTATCTATCTATCTATCTATCTATCTATCTATCTATCTATCTATCTATCTATCTATCTATCTATCTATCTATCTATCTATCTATCTATCTATCTATCTATCTATCTATCTATCTATCTATCTATCTATCTATCTATCTATCTATCTATCTATCTATCTATCTATCTATCTCTATATAGATAGATATATATAAACTTGATTGCTTGCTTACATTTGAAAAAACAAAACAAATATTAAAACCAACAATGTTGCGATTCATAAATTTTATTGATTAAGAAATACACAACCATTTGTACAGAGCATCTTTAGTTCACCTCCCACTATCTGCACAATCTTAAATTCAGTTTATATGTAATAAAGTCAGACTTCATCTTGAGGTTTAGGCAATTACAGAGGAGCTTCTCTCGAATCTGTTTGCAGGCTAACTATAGCATATACATCATAAGTACTTTATTGCTACACAACATGCACCACATCAGAAAACCAGTTTGATTTCCTATCTGCAGCACAATTATGTAAGATATGCTTAATCCACCAGGTGGAGCTTAAAAAAGGGCCCTAAATGTGCCAATATCCAATTAACGCATTATATGCTGGACTAAGAAGGATGCCATTTGTAATAAAGTGGCGCCTCAAGGAGCTCTCAGAGAGTACCAGGCTGTAAACCCAGCAAGGACGGCAACCAAGGCAGCCAGGGCCAACTGATTGGGTATATGGCTGAGGTAGTTTGGATTCTCACCAGCAGCTGCACACAGAGAAGGAGGGAACCAAGGTCATGGTTTACATAAATACATAATGGTAGGAGATTAAACACCTAACAGAAAATTCTTATCAGACTTTCAAAAAACAGTTAGTTTTAGGGAAACATAGAGTTCAGAGCTTGCACTAATTATATTTACTATATATATATGTGTGTGTATATATATATATGCGTGTGTATATATGTAAATATATATGTATGTATATATATATATATATATATATATATATATATATATATATATATATATATATATATATATATATATATATATATATATATATATATATATATATATATATATATATATATATATATATATATATATATATATGTATATACAGTATATACCTGACAGCTATTACAAGCAATTATGTAAAGACTATGGCAATGTCTTCAAAATATTGACATCACATTTCCGATAGCATAGAGCCTCTGAAACGGCGCAGTATGTCACTTTACACACAATATTTTGTGCACACTAGTGGCACACTTTTTTCCTGATTATGTCATTTAAACTTACTGAACATTTTTTCTAGGTTTCCTTCTGCTGATAAGCTGTCATAATTAGACATATCCTTTCAAGGAGTTTTGCATAATATCTAAAGCATAAACTTGTTACTTCAAGACTGGACTTTGTACTTCCTAACTGTAAAGAAACATAAACAAACTGCTGTTAAAATCCTTCAGCCTTTCCAAAACATTGCAACAATAGTTTATTAAGAACAGAAAGAACAAATCCTATTTCCCACAATTATGCTTCTGTTCATTAGTTTGATTCATTTTATCAATTTTCTGTGGTTCGATTTGTTTTGTTTTTTTGATATTTCAGACAGTTTCCTGTTGCCAGAGAGGTACTGGTTAAATGATGGATACGTTTTACAGATGTTGCAGTAATCTTGCCGGCATCAGAGAAACTGTAACGTCAATTAAAAAAATAATAACAATAATAATTTCATCCATCCATCCATCCATCCATCCATCTTCCTCCGCTTATCCGGGGTCGGGTCGCGGAGGCAGCAGCTTAAGAAGGGAGGCCCAGACTTCCCTCTCCCCAGCCACTTCTTCCAGCTCTTCAGGAGGAACCCCAAGGCGTTCCCAGGCCAGCCGAGAAACATAGTCTCTCCAGCGTGTCCTGGGTCTTCCCCGGGGCCTCCCCCCGGTGGGAAGTGCCCGGAACACCTCACCAGGGAGGCGTCCAGGAGGCATCCTAAACAGATGCCCAAGCCATCTCAACTGGCTCCTCTCGACGTGGAGGAGCAGCGGCTCTACTCCGAGTCCCTCCCGGATGACCGAGCTTCTCACCCTATCTCTAAGGGAGAGCCCAGCCACCCTACGGAGGAAACCCATTTCGGGCGCTTGTATCCGCGATCTCGTTCTTTCGGTCATGACCCAGAGTTCATGACCATAGATGAGGGTAGGAATGTAGATCGACCGGTAAATCGAGAGCTTCGCTTTTTGACTCAGCTCTCTCTTCACCACGACGGACTGGTACAGCACCCGCTTCACGGCAGACGCTGCACCAATCCGCCTGTTGATCTCCCGCTCCCTTCTTCCCTCATTCGTGAACAAGATCCCATGATACTTAAACTCCTCCACTTGGGGCAGGACACCCCCCCTGACCCGGAGAAGGCACTCTACCCTTTTCCGGCTCAAGACCATGGCCTCGGATTTGGAGGCACTGATCCCCATCCCGGCCGCTTCACACTCGGCTGGGAACCGATCCAGCGAGAGCTGCAGATCACGACCTGATGAAGCCAATAGGACCACATCATCTGCAAAAAGCAGAGACGCAATCCTAAGGCCACCAAAACGGATCCCCTCAACACCTTGGCTGCGCCTAGAAATTCTGTCCAAGAAGGTAATGAACAGAATCGGTGACAAAGGGCAGCCCTGGCGGAGTCCAACTCTCACCGGAAACGAGCCCGACTTACTGCCGCCAATGCGGACCAGACTCTGACACCGGTCATACAGGGACCTGACAGCCCGTATCAAAGGGCCCGGCACCCCGTATTCCCGGAGAACCCCCCTCAGGGCCCCCCGAGGGACACGGTCGAACGCCTTCTCCAAGTCCACAAAGCACATGTAGACTGGTTGGGCAAACTCCCATGCACCCTCCAGGACCCTGCTGAGGGTGTAGAGCTGGTCCAGCGTTCCACGACCAGGACAGAAACCACACTGCTCTTCCTGAATCCGAGGTTCAACTATCCGACGGACCCTCCTCTCCAGCACCCCGAATAGACCTTGCCAGGGAGGCTTAAGAGTGTGACTCCCCTATAATTGGAGCACACCCTCCGGTCCCCCTTTTTGAACATAATAATTTGTGAATTTATAATTGGATAAGGGAAGCATTTACTTTTTACTTAGGTCCAAATTGGTTTGTATGGATATATAATAATTTTATACAAATGTATTGAGGAACTGATTTACCTGAACACAACCTTTGGTGGGTATGTGGGAGATCACCATCCCCCTTCTTAAAAAATTCTTAAAAATCATCCACCTTCTAAAATGAACATCCCCCCATACCATCCCCTGTAACATGCTATTACTGAATGTGTAAAATTTCTACTATATATTAACAGTAATGGCAATAATATTGCCCTTTCAACATGTGATGGGCTGTGGGCTTACAAGTAGCCTGAGCAAAATAAATAATATCAAAGAAGTGGCCTACCATGACTATGAAGCTGATCCCAGTGGGAAATTAGTCACTAACTATGTAGGGGCATTGATAGCCATGCCAGTCCAGTGACTGACTGGTCAATAACCTGCGTACCTGACATGTAACAACTATACCATGCATATTGCTTTAGGTTAATAGACTATATTAATTAGGCTAAGTATGCATCCAAAAACAAAAACAACCATCCCCCTTCTTTATTTTTTACAACTAGACTGGGCCAATACTTTAAAAAACAATAGCAAATTAAGAAAAATACAGAAAGATCCAGAGGCAAGATAAGATCTTTAACAGGTCATGTTTGCAACAAATTATGTAAGAAGGGAAACAAATTTGAAATACTATTTTTTGTATTTTTTTACAGCACTAGTGGCTTGTTTTTATGGACAGTAGACTGACAGGAAAGGGGGTATGAGAGCGGGGGAGAGACATGCAGGAAAGGACCACAGGTCAGATTCAAACCCAGGTCGCCCGCGTCAAGGGCTAAGGCCTCCATACATGGGTGATGTGCGCTAACCACTGCGCCACCAAAGCATACCCATGTTGAAATACTCTTGTCAGATGCGTCAAAGACATTGAATAAAGATGTGCCAAGATGTGACAAGGTAGCTGCTGGGGCTAAAAGAAGGATGGATGAAGCAAAATGCAGGACAGTCTTAGAAAGATTGACTGTTATAGGCTGCAAAAAACTTTCAGACCGAAGTGGAGAATAACCTGTTAGTATAACAATATTCTCTGATACAACCAGAGACACAAATACATTCTATTAAAGCATTTTGATGTGGAGAAAACATTCAGTCATAGTCCAAACTAATATACAAGAGAGAACTTGTGGCAAACTGAAAAAAAAAAAGTTTTACAAATACTTTAAACAAGCTGACTATGTTGGACCTATTTTGTAAAACATATGTGTTGGTGGATTAATATACTAGAAGATGTATAGGCGTACTAGAAAAGCCTGAGCAGTAATGCATGCTCCATTTTACTGACTTTTAATAGTAAAAAAATAAACCTGAGTTATACCAGACTGCACTAAATGTTCTTCTCTGCCAAAAAAAGTTAACGTTTGCAGTTGAAGTTAATTCATATGGAGGCTAAGGGAGACGCTTTGGTTGCAAAAATTATCAAGACTCATGACATACTGGATTATTTATTTATCATTCGTTTTTTTTATTTGTTCAGAAGAACAAGCATAATGTCTTACCTGTGTTAGCACCTGAAAAAGGACACTTGGCATCACCTCCCATGGTGGCTGCATGACTGTGTCCCAAACCTACAGCTTCCTCCTTGCTAGACTTTCCAATTTCTTCAAGCTCCGCAATGACCTGAATACAAAAATATCCTAATTTTTGCTTTATACCCATCTCTATTATATCCCTCATTCAAATGTGCATTTGTTTCATGTATGTTTGTTTTTTCTTCAATAATTTAGCAATCATCCATCCTGCTAGTTGTCTCACCTTCAAAGAGAAGTCATAGGCTCTGACAGCTTCTTCCACAATGCTTACTTTGGTCTCCATCTCCAGGTCCACCTCATTCAGCTTGCTTCGGTAAAGCTGCTTAAAGCCCTTTTGACTGGTGATTCCTTCAAATGTGTAAAACTTCAGACCCTCCCCTGTTGCAGGGAGCCTCAGGACCTTCTTGGCCACATTATTGAGGAGGTGTCCACCTGATAGATCTCCAATGTAGCGAACATAGCAATGAGCTAAAAGCATCCCCGGGTCTTTCTTTCCCACCTCACGGATCCGCTTCACCCAAAGCTTTGTGGCTGCAGAGGGGCTTATCTGAAGGAGAAAAATATAACAAATAAGGCCCAAAAGAGATAATTACTGCATTTCTGTGGATTAAACAGTGTTTGCTCACCAGGCTCTCCCAATCCGCTCCATAGAAGTACTGCAGGTCCTGGGCCAGGGCTTCCCGGCGGTAGAGCTCCGTAGGAAAATAGATCTGAGCAAGGTAAGGGTGGTCTTTATTCCGCTCCAGCTCATCCTCCATGGCCGAATAAATAAAGTACAGAGCTTCGATCCCTTTCTGTTTATATGCAAAGAGGTAGAAACAAAATTAAGTTACAGCTACACTCTAGAGAGAAAATGCTGCTCCAACTTAAATTAATTACTTCAATTGGTAACAAGTAATTAAATGAAGTTGATCCAACTTCATTTATTAAATTCACAAGTTGAAACACCAATAGATTAAGTCAGGTAAATCCAGTTATAAATTTAAGCCATTCATTTAAGTTGGAGATGCAATTTCCTTTTTGCAATTTGCATTAAACATTAAGTTTGAGTCAAGTCACACAAAACCTTACTAAAAGAATCTCTATGATGATTTCCAAAATAAACCTCTTATAATGTCGTTCATTAGCCCACCCTTTGTTCTGTTCCCCTTATATACTCCACCTCTGCAGTCACTCAGTGCTGGTTCCTTGTTGTTGTTTAGTTGCTTCCTCATCTCTGGCTTCCCACGTGAGTTTTCCCTAGTGTTTCCTGGTCTTTTGGTTCTTGTATTTTGTATTTTGCCTCAGTTCTGTCATTAAATCTACAAGATTCACCTCTTGTAGAGCACCAACATGACCTTCAATGTTCCTCAGGCTGGGGCTCCATGCAAAATCTCACCTCGTGGGGTCTCAATGATCCTAAGAAAGGTGAGAAATCAGGCCAGAACTACATGGGAGGAACTAGTTAATGAACTACTGTAAAAGGAGCTGGGACCACCGTTTCCAACGATACTGTTGGTAATACACTAAAGGGTGAATTACTTTTGCAGCGCACACAACAAACGTCGCTTGCTTCTGCTTGCGAACCACTTTTGCTTGTATGGTTCTGCATTGTCGGTCTGGAATTTGTAGGTACGCACAGCAGTTTCCCGCCAAAGCGATAGGGGGAACCTATTCGAGAACTCGCGCCTGCAGGAGTATTTTTTTTCCAAAACAACATGTCTGAGGCATTGTACAAGAGGTTGTACTTCCGAACCTCCTCGATCAACGTTTCATTCTGTTATCCATTATTATTATTATTACTCCTCGGTTTTTAAAAATGGCGCGCCCTGGAACCGAATCAAGAAGGACGACCACACAGACAGCCAGAAAGGCATACCAAGGACCAATCACAGTTGTCTTTTGTCTGCGCACTTCTGCTTGAGGTCTGCATGGGTTTTTGACCGTCTGACGTGTAGTCAGGATTTTTTTGAGGTGCGCGACGACAGTTGCAGAACCTCTGTGTGTGTGTGTGTGGGGGGGGGGGGGGTGGACACAGAGACAGAGGGTGCACACAGAGAAATTTGACGGTTGCAAAGGCTATGCGCAGAAGAATAAATCGGCCTTTTGACGTTGTGGTTTGAAACAATGCATGGCATAGAAGGTTCGCCTGCTTAAAGTTGTAGGGAAGTCATATTTAAATGTCAAATCATTCTGGCTCAAACATGTATATAAATGTGCTCTTGATAAGACGATATTGTCCCAAAAGTTAGAAAATGTGTATCTAAAAAAATATCCTGTCCTAAAATCTGTGGTGGGTTTTTCCGTTATCTTATGCTGGCCAGTTAGTTATATGTCCGCCTGTACATCTAAATTCGGCCAATCATATATCAACGGTCATCTGTCAGTCAAATTTTTTTCAGTCATAGCATCTTGTTTCATTTGTCGCAGCTAATATATGCAATGGTTGAAATAAGAAATAAGAATAATTTACTTTACCATTGAGTTCCGTCCCATTGTTCACGTGGATGGACGTCTGTGCCTTCTGCAGGCGTAGAGCTAACAGAACTGGCAGCAGTGCGAGGCAAGGGCTCAAACATTTACAGCTGTAAGCCTTCTAAACCAAACAAAGCTTCTGCCACCCTGGCGTCCTCTTCTGCAACAACTTTGTCCCCGGTTTCCTCCTCTAAATAAAAAATGTATGACGGAGGAGACTCATCCACGACCGCCGACACAAAACTCTCCTCCTCTTGAATGTTTCCACTGTACATAGTGTTCTTTGACAGTGTCGTTGCCAAGTGCTACTTGGTCCCAATGTAATTTCACATTGGGAACCTACTAGCACTAATTTGCTAACTAGTTAGCAAGATGCTTCCGACAAATCGGCCAAAACCAAACTTGCTTGCGAACCTTCCGCCACAACAATCCCTTTTGATAAACGACCAATCACATTCACTTTATTTACTCGTGTAAAGATGGGCACCGCTCAGGAGAATTCGGAAATGCAACGGTTGGAACAGCCACTTCCCTACGACTTTAAACCACCACATGTCAAGGCCCATCTTAAGTTTGCTAATGACCATTTGGATGATCCAGAGGAGTCATGGGAGGAAGTCATGCGGTCAGATAAGACCAAAATAGAACGTTTTGGTCATAATTCCACTAACCGTGTTTGGAGGAAGAACACCATCCCTACTGTGAAGCATGGGGGTGGACAGGGCAACTGCACTGTATTAAGGAGAGGATGACCGGGAGCCATGTATTGTGAGATTTTGGGGAACGACCTCCTTCCCTCAGTCAGAGCATTGAAGATGGGTGGAGGCTGGAATTTCCAACATGACAATGACTTGAAGCGAAAGACAAGCTTTGCAGGGAGCCTCCGTGTTTCTCAGCAACATCCCTGAAACCTGACTGATCTAGAGAAGATCTGTGTGGAGGAGTGGGCCAAAACCCCTACTGCAGTGTGTGCAATCCTGGTGAAAAACTCCAGGAAATGTTTGATAACATAGATTTTCTCAGGCGTTTAAATACTGATTTGCAGCTGTATCATAAAAATAAATAGTCGAAAAATCATACATTGTGACTTCTAGATTTTTTTCCGATTATGTCTCTTACAGTGGACATGCACCTACGATGACAATTTCAGACCCCTCCATGATTTCTAAGTGGGAGAACTTGCCAAATAGCAGGGTTTTCAAATACTTATTTTCTTCACTGTATAATAGATTGGTTTAGATCACAACTTTAGATCATGCTTTTCATCCAGTCTGCCAGAGCCTAGTCTCTGGGTGGGACATCCCACTTGAAGACCTGCAACGGTACCTGCAGCAAAAGGTGACTGCAAAGTGTTGACGGAAAAGGAATTAATATAAAAGGATCTCTTATTCTTCAAATCTCATAATTTTTACTAATTTTATATGTTAATCACTCAATTATATTGGTGTGTGCCATGGATACAGTGAAAAAATTTAAATTCAAATTTTCATTTACAGAGTAGACAATAAACCTGTGTGAGGCATGAAAGAGTTGATCCCTTTGCATATTTATGCCTAAATATAAACTCTATAAAAGTAAAATAATAATCCTGTGTTCCTTTGGCATTACAACTGTCTAAATATAAAATAGGGTGGCAGCAGTAGCAAAGCCATTCCACAGACAACCTGTTTATAGCTAACAATTTAATGCCTGGAGGACTCTGCCAGATTTCCTCCCCTCTGAAAATTAAAGGCAGAGCTGGTTTGGTGGACCCTATCATTGATTGTCTGTTCCTCAAACTCAAATAAAATATTTAACCCACATAGCAGATTTTCATACCACAATTAAAACTTTGTAAACTAACCTTAAGGACGTCCTTTTTGACTATGCCTCTGTAGAAGTCTCTGCCCAACGGGGAGATCTCCGTTTTGGTGTGGGACTCCTTGGTCCCCGCCAGTAACATCTCAGAGAGGTCAGCCGAACTTGTTGAAACAAAGAAAAAGAATTTGAAATTCAAACACTTCACTTTGGTTCAAACACTGGGATAATGTGAAGAATGAAATTTTTGATTATTGAAACTATCATCTGTACCTTAATGGTGTGTCCATCTTTGCACTTTACAGATGTTTCACCTTAAAGAGAGAAGAAAGACGAACTGAATTCAATACTCTTTACCCTGTTCTTCTAATGGTAAATGGCATGTACTTATATAGCACCTTTATTCAAGTTACGAGACTTGACCAAAGCGCTTTACACTACATTCATTCACCCATTCACACACACACTCACACACTGATGGTGGCAAGCTACATTGTAGCCACAGCTGCCCTGGGGCTCACTGACAGAAGCGAGGCTGCTGTACACTGGCACCACCGGGCCCTCTGACCACCATCAGTAGACAATGCAGGTGAAGTGTCTTGCCCAAGGACACAACAACACTGAAAGTCGGAGTCAGGGCTTGAACCGTCAACCTTTCGATTTCAGGGCAAACTCCTACATCCAACGCCACTGTCGCTTTTGATGATTTCAATTTATGATTATTTTAATAATGAATCAGTATTCCACCCTACAATCAGAAGTTCACATACTTTCAACTACATATGCTTTTTTTTCCTATAGATGGATGTAGGGGTGTAAGAAAATATCTATTTTGTCAAATATCACAATATTTAATTAGACCATTATGATACCGATTAAAAATAGACTGAATGGATCTTAAATGTAAAAAATATTAATTTTCATAAATCCATTTAATTGCCTTACTTTTCTATAACTTTTAAACCCCCAACCACTGAGTGGCAGCGCAACGCCCATGAGCCTATTATTAAGCGGTTCTGCACCAGCCGATCGGCTATATTATTATAAAAGTCACAATATATCGTCTCCATTAAGGTATGGAGATATGTTGGGATAGATAGATCATATCCAAACAAATGTATCGTGATATATATCCCATTGCCAAATTCTTCCCAATTCCCACCCTTAGTTAGGTGGGATTCTTACTGCTGTTTTTTTACAACATAGAATGACAGTAAAACATAAAACCCTAAAGTTTTTTTTTAAATACCCTAACTGCACTCAGAGATTTAAAACTAATGTGGGCTCAAACCTGTCCTCCTATGGTTTTACATTAATTTATCTTTTTTAGCAAAGCATATACAGTTAATATATCTTTCTAAAAAAATTTAACCCATATGTAATTTTAGCAATGACTTAAAGGGCAATCTCTGCCTACGGCAAATACCAGAACTTTCTTAGACGGCTGGCTTGTATTGGCAAATTTATCAAAAATTTGAACAGCAGGTTGCTAATGGTAACAAGAAGCACGTAGTTAAAATGCAACTTGTGTAGGTACATTTGATTAAATATCAATATATTTTTACAAAAAAATAGAATAGAAATTAGCTTTATTGCCCCTGAGGGTAAAGACGTATGCTTTCAAACAGAAAAAGCAAGCAAAAAATTATGGTAGTTTACTCAACGAATAAAAATAGCAAGAGTAACATATGAAAAGGAGTTTGTGCAGTAAGGACAATTTCCAACATAAGGAGAAATACTGTACAGTTATTGGTTTATAAAAACAGCACAATCAGAACAAAACAGGGGCTATCAGACTATTTCGAAGAATGATGACAGCAAAAACAGAAGAAAACTTTTTTGGGAGCAGTGATAGTAAGAAAGTCTAACTGCGTCCTCCAGGACTTCCTTCCAGGAGGAGGGATCTGTAATAACGCTCCTTTGTGCACCTAGGGTGCAGCAGTCTTTTACGGAAATAGCTCTTAAGCTCTGCAACAGGTTCTTAAATTAAATGAGAGACATTGTCTAACAGTAATGTAACACTGATAGAATCCTTCTGTCACTCAAGACCTGCACTGGATGCATTAGCCTACATTTATAAATTTGACCCTGTCAGAATGAGAGTTAAAAATAATTTTAACCCCATATATTTAGTTCGATGTCATACAAGTTATAAGCTGTATTTTTGGCCCACTTAAAAAAGTATTTTAAATAAATCATTGAAAACAAAAAATATGTATTTGTCACTAATTTCAGTTAGCATGACCAGTTCAATAACAACCTAAATAAATGTGTTGTAATTTAACAAAATATAGTTATAGAACAGATAAAGATATTGTTAGGTTTATTCAATGATGATTATAAAGTTAATGGGTGTGCAAAACATTGAGGAAAGGAGATGCTTCACTCTGTCTTGTGATTCAATGAGAAGAGCATTCTGTCTTATGACCTGATCACTTGTCTTGTCAGAAGAATACTCTGTTTTGTAACCCACACCATGTGTTATGATCTGTTATTAAAAAGGCTCTGCAGAGGAAGTCCGTCAGAGAGGGTTAGTAAGTTGGGTGTAGCTCTTTCTCCTTCTGCAGAAGCTGTTGAAAATCCCTTTCTGTGTGGACTCAGTTCCTCTTTTACGAACCTACATTTTTTAACCTAACAGATATAGTAGTTCAGTATATGTATGTATGTATGTATGTATGTATGTATGTATGTATGTATGCATGTATGCATGTATGCATGTATGCATGCATGTATGTATGTATGTGTGCATGTATGCATGCATGTATGCATGCATGCATGCATGGGAAGTAACGAAGTACAAATACTTCGTTACTGTACTCAAGTAGATTTTTCTGATATCTTTACTTTACTCCTTATTTTTATGGCGACTTTTTACTTCTACTCCTTACATTTTTACACAAATATCTGTACTTTCTACTCCCTACATTTTAAAAAATTGGCTCGTTACTTTAGTTTTGAATAATTTCATTGGAGTTATCGTTATTATTTTTCACGTCATCAATACCAAATTCAATCTAATTGGATGGGAATCTATGTTTCATTTGACGCACCACTACAAGATGAATCGACAGATTCGGCGCTATTCATTCGCGGCAAATAATTGCAGCTTGGTGGCGGTGGCGTTAGCATAGTAGTATGGACGACGAGATGATTGAAAATGAACACAGCGGAGATCTAGTCCTATTGGCAGACATCCATTTAAAATGTAGGCAACGGCATGAAAAAAGTGGTTTCTACTTTTACTTTATTACTTTAAGTAAATTTACAAGCCTGTACTTTGTTACTTTTACTTGAGTAATGTAAAATGTATGTATGTATGTATATATGCATAATATATATATAATATATAAAATTTTAAAATAATGAAAACAACATTTTGTACCTCTATAGCCGGGTATCAAAGTGGTTCCAGAAAGGGCCGTGTGGCTGCAAGTTTTCTTTCCAACCAAGCAATAGCACACCAGACTCCAGTCATCTCATCATGTCATCATGTGAAGATAGGACTCACTTAATGAGATGACTGGAGTCTGGTGTGGCTGTTGCTTGGTTGGAAAGAAAACCTGCAGCCACAAGACCCTTTTTGGATCCACTTTGACACCCCTGCTCTATAGAATAAGAGTGCACATTACTGTTAATATACAGTCGAAATTTTACACATTCAGTAATAATATGTCACAGGGGATGGTATTGGGGGAAGATTTTTAAGATGTTTTTTAAGAAGGGGGATGCCATCCCCACTCATCCCCCCTTTAACTCAAGTACTGTTTGTCACATGTTAACACGTTAAATACAACCAGCTACTGATGGAAAATCCTGCAGTGCATACAGTGTCAGCCTCTTGGCAGCCTCCCTAACCGGTTTCTGGCACCTTTTTGCAAATAAATTATTAGGATGTTACTCTAGTGCCACCTTTTTCACATGGTGGTCTTCAATTTGGAATGTGGCATACTGTAACCATTTTCAAATATTGTTTTTAGGTAACTACAAATACAAATCTGAGGTGTTATCTAATCTAAATCTGAGCCAAATGCACTATGTTCTACAGAAATGCTATATAAAGATCAAATAACAAATGCGTGCAGACAAGCACTCAGCTCATTAAGAAGTAGTTGACATTTGAGAGGACTGCTACTAAAATAGAGTGGAAATGAAATATGAACTATTGGAAAATACTGCAATAAGGGGGGGTTAGCGTATCAACTCCTGGAAGGGAGGCTGCGAATTTATAGGGCTGTTCTCACAAACCCTTGATGACACCCCGCTCCCCCCCCAAACTATTGTCTGAGATATTTTAGAGGACAGTTTAAAACTGTCAGCAAGTCAGCTTAAAGAAAATGTTTTTATCAAAGAGTGGATTTCGTACAACACGCAACTTTTGCAAAATTCCCAAATTATTTCAGAACTTTTAAACAATCCTGTTAGAAATTATTTTACCCCCACCACCCACACAAATAACAATCCGCTGTTAATTGAAGGGAAATATCCTAAATGGACAAAGGCAGCTCAAGCAATTGTACTGCAGTCAAATAAAATCAATTTTAAATATATTTTATAGAGGGAGTTAGTATATTGCTTTCGGATACGGCGTTACATGTGCAAAACATTGCTGCATAGCGACATACATACAGGTGCATTTAGAGGTATGTCAGCAAACCTGTAGATTTTCAGATTTTATTTTTTTTAGTTTGCTTTTACAAAACATTTACTAAATTCATGCAAGACTATGTTAGTGAAATTACCAGCGATTTAACTGGGAATATTTATGAAGTGATCAAAATGTAAGGATTTTTTTTCCTCATATAACAAAAAGGTTTAATGATACCAGTGTGACAGCCAATCCCATAACAACAGATGACTAACAAAACTCAAACTGAATTCATCTAATGCAGGGGATGGTATAGTAGTGCGATCTAGATGCCTACTACCATATATAGTCTAAATATAGTATATATAGTATAATACGACCAGCTACTGATGGAAAATCCTGCAGTGCATATGGTGTCAGCCTCTTGGCAGCCTCCGTAACCAGTTTCTGGCACTTCTTTGCAAATGAATTATTATAATGTTACTCTGGTACCATATAGCTACGCTATATATGGTATTAAACATCACTAATAGTTATTTTTTAAACATCACCCCCTTTGTGAGAGGATGTAGGCCTATATTTACTTCTAGAGTAAGAATACAGCATATCTGTAAAGTCAAACCACTCTGGCATAATTAGTTATTGTGCTGTGGCTCTATAATATATTGTTCATAATGTCATTAAATGGGAAGTCTGACAAAAGTGAGAAATGATTGCAGTGTTTCACCCCACCTGTTAACAAGGAGTTGACA